CTGCATTCTGTAACTTTCCACCCACATGGTACAGGACAGCCCACTAGGTATGTCTTATAGGTTGCTCAGGTTTTGGTTTGAAATGACCAATCAAAATGTAACACGTCAACTGAAAAAAATGCTAGCTCAATAAAAGCCATGTGCGCTCTTTGTTTAGGGTCGGCACTGATCTGAGCAACAAGCTCCTCTGTTGGCCTGCTTGCAAGCAATAAAATAGTTGGACCCAGCCTGAAAGTGTGACTCTCTTCTAGAGGTGAATTGGACTAGCCTCCAGGTGATAAAATCAGCAATTTATGGAACAATAGGCACCACTATCAGAGTTCTTTTTCGGTTTGTGGAGGGTGAATTTGGTGGCTAGTAAGATTGGTGTAGCTGTTCTGTCTCTTTGGATGCTGCAATTAAATTAACCCCTTAGAGAAAGGTGCTAGTCCTGCAGCAGGGGCTTCTTTTGGTCTGTTACAGAATACACCCAAGGGAGCTTTTCTGCCTAGCCCAGGGAGTCTTACCCTGAGCTACTGTCCAGGGGATGTACTGCTTACGCTAGCCAAAAGCTGCAGGTGCTTGGTAGGAAGGCCTGCACCAGGGGTCCATACCGCTCCTTGTTGTTGCTTTCATCTCCCGGGGTTGCCATCGAAGTAACAAGTGCTTCTTACTACTGAGGTCACTGCCATTGTTCCTCACCACAGCTGGGTGTTACCCCTCGGAACTGCAAGCCCTCCTTTTTAGAGCCTGATTTGTCCAACAGCAGTGTCAGGTGTGAAATATGTGAAGGTATTGGATGGACTCATTAGAATCTAAACTAATTTTTTTGTTGTTGAATTTCCTGATGGCAGCTAATGCATAGCTTTACTTAATGTTCCTAATATATTCAGTGCTGGCCCACATGGTACCACTCTTTCCCACATCTGTGGTTGGAATCATTTAATTTTGGAATACCCCATGTCAAATAAAATAACTGGTGATGAGGATGGGATCCCATGAGGATGGGATCCCATGAGGATGGGATCCCATGAGCAGGGCATGTATTAAAGCAAGCAGAAGAATCTGCTTTAACTGTGAATACCTGAAATCTGTTGGGACTGGAATGACTATCTATACTGGAACAACTGGAGCTTATGACAACACCCTGGAAGATACAGAGCAGCTAGAGCAGTTTTTTTTTGAAGTAAATGAGATTCCCCCATGGAAATATGTAACTACAATGCTGAATTTGGGAGGAAAAACATTTAGTTTACTGTGCACTCTGCTTACCCCAGAGAAACCAGGAAGCAAAATCTTTAACAAATTAGTAATAATAATCCTAGAGCACCTGACACTCAAGCTGTTGAACTATGCAGAAAGAACACAACCTGTTTGCTATGCAACTTCTGTACAGCACCTACTGTTCCTTCACACGAAGTAAGGAGCAGCATAATATCCTTGGCTCTGTATTTCATGTATCTCTTGGAGAGAGAAACAATTCAGTGTTATAGAAGGGGGATCTTTTTGAAGCATGCAGTGGGGCTGTGCACTGTAGCTGGCCCACTACACTTCTCATTGCTTTACAGGTGTGAAGGGAGGAAATAGGCCACAGAAGAGCCTACACAGGTTCTTAACTGAGAGCTGCAAACTGCAGTCAAGGATCTTGGTACAGTAGGAAGCAACTTGGACATACATCATTCTGTTCTGCATATGGTGATATGATAGTTATAGCTGCTGGGCCAGAACAAGGCTGCAGGTTCGTGAATCCTGCTTCAATATATTGCTGACGAAAACAAAGCACAATAACTTTATATGTGGTGTGCAAGGACCTCCCAGGGCAGTGGTATAGACCAGCCCTTAGAGGCACCAGTTGAAACTAGAGTCCCATTGTGCTACTAGATAGAAACATAGTGAAATCCTGGAAGAGCCCAACAGATTCAGTAGATTAGAGATAGAAAAGCAATAAAGTTTTGCATGGAGGGATGGGGCTAAGAGAAACTACACTTTTGGATTGAATGGGACTTAGATGAACAGGGTTGGGATTTAAATGAGTGGATGGTAAGAACTGATTAGTAGATGAGCCATTTGGCAAGACGTGTATGGAGTCTGGACTGGGAGCTCCTCCACCCCTACACTCCTGGCAGAGGGCTCCATAAGGTTCCTTGGTCACACTGGACCTGGGCTCCAGTCGCCACATCAGTCACCCATCGACTCTCATGCCAGCCTTGGGGCATTTTATTAATATGTCCCATAACTCATACCTGGGATCCCCAGTAGTTTATCTAGTATGAAAATAGACATGTGGGTAGTCTAGCTGCCTCTCACCCTCTTCTGCCATGTGTCTTTATCCATTGTCCAAGAGCTTCTCCCATCACTTCTGGCATCCTTTTATCTCTGCCCTGGGGGGTGTCCAGCCAGTCAGCATTGGGACTTACCTCCCAGCTGTGGCTCATGCCCCTGTGGGAAGAGAGCCCATCTGAAGTGAGTCAGGGCCAGGACTCTTCTCATTTGGGGTCCTAGACTCCCTGGGGCTCAGGGTACCTGCTGAGATACTCCCAGCCAGGGCCTCTCCCTGGCAGCTGCTGTTTCTTGGTTGGGAATTCTGGTGGGCAGCATCCAGGCCGTGTCTCACAGTGCTGCGTTCAGTGCTCTGGCCGCATTGTCCCAAGCCAACAGGGCTTTTTGCCAGACCACAGATAAGCGAGAGGGGGCGAGTGGAGTGTTCTCCTTTCCCAATCCTGTCACCCTGCTACACTGCCTTATTAACTTCATGAATCCATGCTAAAGAGTTTAGCAAGCTAGCAAGATTACTTCAGTGCTTTTGTTAACGCATCCAGCTTGTCAGCTTCTTCCAGTCCCTATGGCAAGATTAACAATGTGGTGATGATGCTTTGAAAATATAGGGAAACCAGAATTAAATTGATGCATCAAAAATCATCCCTCTGATGCAGTGCACAAGTGTCACTTGTGTCTTAACTAAACAGAACACTTTATTCTAGATTATAAACAAAGACCAGCATCTTTCCTGCCCAGAGCAGGGGGCCTAGACCCAATGATCTCACGAAGTGCCTTCCAAGCCCTAAACTTCTGTGAATCTAATGCCATAGTATTACCACTTTGCTCCTCTCTCAGCTTTTCTCTCAGGTCTGCTGTGGAGTTCACATGTTCAGACTTGTAATTCTGGTAACCTGAGCAGGGTAAAATGAGGCAAGAGAGGAAGGCACATAGTTAGACAGGAAAGGCTTGCCAAAGGAGAAACTTCAAGGGAACTTTGTGCACAACTGCTGCCTGGCACACAAGCAAAGCGAGGAGGTTCCTGTCATGAGGGCAGTGCAGAAAGGCATGAACAAAGAAGGGAAGAGTGAGAATAGATAAACGGGGATCCTGACGAGACAGTATTACAGAAGAAGAACATCTTCAGAAGCATGTTTCCAGCCCTCTAGAGACACTCTTCTGTCAACTGCTGGACCCAGTGGGCTGGGAGAAACAAATAATAGCATGGGGTTTTCCATCTTAATATGTGAGACACTTCAAAGTAATATTACTAGTCCATGCAGGCCTTATTTATGTCTTAACCTTTGCCTGTCAACATTAAAACAGGACTAGCAAGCTCAAAAGCAAAGGGAGGCAGCACAGTTGTCTCAATAGTTGAAGAAGGGTATTAATGTTCCAATCTTCATTGTTGCCCTGCATTTGAAATGTTATTCATTGTGACCAAGGCCCCCACAAGTCTGGTATCATAGCACCAAACCATGTATAGACAACAGGAATATTAAGTCTCAGATTGAAAGCCATCAAAAACTGGATATGTTTTCAAAAACAAAATGCTACTTTTTAGTGAAGAAACCATTGTTTCCTACTCTATCAATGATATTGTGTCACTGGAGGAAGTAACGTGACACACTTAGGAGCACACTGGGCTATACCTGTAGATGGGAACTCTGTTCCTGCAGACCTCCTAGGTGAGTACGGGCAAGTCTCTCCACTGCTCCTCAAATATGGAAACCTGTGACCCATCTGCTCTGAGATCTACAGACAAAGTTGTAAAAACTCATTCTTCATCTTATCAACAGGGACCCTAGTTTTCTCTGTTAAAAAACCCCAAACAAAAACCCCAATTTTGGGATTAAAAAAAGTAACCCAAAATCCACATTTTTCTGTGATTTTTAAACTGAAAGACCACTATAGATATAGATTAGTGGCATTTCATTTTAACCACAGAAAAATGTGGATTTTGGGTTACTTTTCCCCAGAAAGGTCTGATTTTGACAAATTGGCATTTTTCAATAAAAAATGCTTTGGCATGGGTATAAAATAGTGATTATTAAGGCTGACAACATTTTCCTTTGAAACTTTTGACAGAAAAATGTTATACCCAATTTTGATGAAGGGGTGGGGTGGACAGAATAAATTGATTGTTAAGGCTATTCCGGCCTCAAATCCAAAATTTATTAAACACTTAAGCAATACCAGAACAAAACCCCAAACAGTTTACAAATGTATCCTTACATAGGTCTTCCAAACGATGTGATGACTTGGCTGGTCAGGCATTGTCACAGTATTGGGGGTCACAATCACAGCAGCTGGGTGGTTTGCTTCTCTGGCTTCCCAACTGCTTTTTGGCTATTTTTTTACATCCTTACAACTTTTATTCCCCCATATGATTGACAAGCTCCCACAGGTTATGTCGCAGGCTCCACCAATTGCCCCTTTATAGCAACTATCCCTATTACTTTGTTACCCATAATCTCCCTCTCAGCTTTCTTATTGCTGGATGGATATGTCATTCTTATCACCATCATCAAAATGGCTTCACTTATGTCAAGGCCTGCAGGAAAGGTAGGTTTTTGCCTAATAGTTTTTTTTAAATACATTTGATTTCCATAGAAAATGTATATATTTAAAAACCGTATGCCTGACGACACAAACATATCAGCTGAAACCAGATTATAACCTTTTACTCATTTATAAATGTTTCCACGAAAAACATTTGAACAACAGGACAAATTTAATACTTTATATGTAGCGTGAAGCATAAATTCATGATGCTGTAAGTTTTTAATATCATGATTAGTACTTACAAACATTACTTACATGTGGAAAAATCACAAGTGAATTCTGCATGTCAAATGAACATCAATAAAATAATGTTATATCATGTGATCAGCTATTGTGTATACATTGCAGCTCCCAGAAAGTTTTTTCTAGTAATGTTTTAGAGGATGACTCGGGATGTACAGTAATCCATGTCTTCCTCTCCATGCCCACCAATATAAGAACTCTTCTCCCCCCTGAAACTTCCATTTCAGTCCTCATTAGATTTTTGCAGAATGTATTTTTTGAAGATATTTGATGTAATTCCAGAAACTCTGCAAGAAGATCTCAGCCAAAGCATGCAGCAATCCAGATAAATTCCTGTTCTCTTGGGCATCTGACTCAGGAGCAGAAACCAGAAAGAAAACACAAACAGAAACCAATAATGCAAATATTAAAACAATGATTTAGGATCTCTAAAGAAATCTGTCCAAAGAAGTTATAAGAAATGGGGCTATAACACATTTCACCTTGGGCTTTCTAAATTGAGCTTTGGTGATGCCTATTTCTCTTAAGTCTCCATGTAGGCCATCTGGGTATCTAAATATAAATCACTCCTAGACACCTCCAGCATCTACCTATTGACTGTGTAGGGATCTGAGACACCCAAGCTAATCAAATAGAATCTCCTTTGGGAGCAAGAAGCCCAGTACTAGAGGAATGCAATGTCTAGGCTTCATCCTGCCCTTGGTACATAACTTCCTGCAGTTACCAAGATAAGTGTAATTCAGCTAATAAAACTAAAGAAAGAAAAGAGGATCCCTGACCTGGGAGACTGTGTTGCAGCCGCTTGTGGGGAGTCGTCTTGGGTGTTCTGGTTACTGTTCCATGTTCCTCTGCCCAAAGTAACAAAAAAGCACCTGAGATTTCAAAAATACTCTGATGTTCACTGTTTGACTGAGTCGCGTGCTGCTGCAAAGCCTGAACTGATGCATAAGGATCACATCTGTGGGGGACCACGGATTACATTTGTGGAGGACCAGCAGGTAAAATGATGCTAAGGGGCAATCAGCATGGGTTCATAGCAGGCAGATCCTGCCTGACTAACCTGGTTTCATTTTACAACCGGGTCACAAAATGCTTGGATGAAGGAATAGAGGTAGATGTTATTTTAAAAAGGCCTTTGACACAGTGTCACACTCAATTCTTACACAAAGTAGTCGACTCCAAAATGAACAGGAGTCACCAGTTTGATGAGGTAATAAGTAAAGCTAACCGCACCCTTTCTTGCATAAGTAGGTGCATCACAAACAGGTCTAGGGAGGTGATACTTCCCTTCTATGCAGCATTGGTTAGGCCGCAGCTGGAGTACTGCGTCCAGTTTTGGGCACCGCACTTCAGGAGGGATGTGGATGGCCTAGAGAGGGTTCAGAGGAGGGCTGCTCATCTGGTTACAGGCCTACCGAAAAGGGTCGTCAAAATATGGAATAAGCTCCAAGGGAGGTGGTGCTGTCCCCTTCCTTGGAGGTGTTTAAAAGGAGATTGGACAGACATCTGGCTGGGGTCATTTGACCCCAGCACTCATTCCTGCCCAGGGCAGGGGGTTGGACTCTATGATCTAATAGGTCTAACATCTATAAAACTATAAATCAGACATGAATGGGGAAGCACAGAACTGAGCCTGGGGTTACCTGGGATCTAGTCCCAGCTCTGCCCTAGAGTTCATGTCAAGTCATTTAGGGTGGAAATCTATTGCCTTCTGGGTGCCTAAATGACAGTGTTTCTGCCACATAAGTGAGCTTTTTGATTCCATTACTCTGCAGTGCTTAGGCAAAAATGTATACAAGTACAGTGTATGTGACCAGTAGGCTGGGCAAGTACACAGCTGTGTAAAGGTCATGAAATAGTAGGAGATGAAACCCCATGACTAATGGATGTTAGTGGCCAGAAGAGGAGGGCTCTTGCAGGTTTTAACCCCAGTGGGTAAGTGGTTAGGGCACTCATCCAAGAAGCAGAAGATCTGGGGTATAGGGTGTAGGATCCCTCCCCCAGGTTAGACACCTTCCAGTGCTCACCTCGAAGCCAGGCAGGAGTGGGAATATGTGGGGCCTGGAGGCAGCGAACAAGTCAGAGCATGTGTGGCTTAGTACAAGAGTTGCTGCTCTAAAAAGCAAATGTGCAACAGGGCAATACTGTCTTGGGCAGCAATGCATCCCCCACATGTTCTAGCTTTCCTGCTTTCTGTAACAGGCAGGGTAGAGTTTTGCTGCTGCTGGAGTGGGGAAGAGCACCTCCTGACATGCAGGTGCAGCAGCCCAAAAGCCACCTTTTCTGGTGGCTCTATTGACACTCCCACAGCTGTAGCTATTGACTGAGCTCTGTAGCTTGTGCCTGGACCAGTGAGTGAGCTGCTGGTGGGAAGCTTGGGATATAGAAGCAACACTTCATCTACAGAAACTACTTCCAGTAAAGAACAGTCTTGCTCCTGCTCGTGCAAGAGTCTGGGGCCTAATCAAGTGTGACAGAATAAGGTCGCCCATAGCTACCATAAAGCTCACACTGGCCCCAATCCCACAAGTGATAGAGTCCAAGGAAAGGGCAAGGCTCAGAAAACCCTGAGAGGGATTTCCTCTTTAGAAATCAATCCTAGGATATGGAAACCTAAGACACTGGTGAGTGTGCATTATAGAGGCAAGGATTTTTCTGTTGTTCTCTTTTGTTGGATTGACTCAATATTTTGAAGAGATGTTAGATCAGGTTTCAGGCACAAAATGCCCTTCCTGAGGTCAAAAAACTTGCCTCGTATCTTTCCTGGCCAATGCTCCAGCCCTGCCATGTGCACTGTATGTCACCTCTGCCCAGGGCTACAGACGGTCAACCTTTATCACAAGAGCTCCAGTTACAGGGTTTTCTGCTAAAGCTCTTACATCTCCTGCTTTCAGCTATGAAAGTTCCTAAATACCAACCAACCTTAAGGATTCCAAGCAGAATTTTATTCAGCTTGTCTCTTAAGTGTCAGTGCCAGAGGGAAAGAACATAATTCATTTGCTATGCAACCTGCATGCAGCACTTACTTTTCATCTGCAAGTAGTAAATGGTATCATGGTATCCTTGGTTCCACATTTCACGTAGGTTCTGGAGAGAAAAACCATTCCAGGCTCATAAAATGGAGAGTTTTGGGGGGGGGGTTTGTGATGTGTAGAGCTTTAATAACTAGAAAGACAGTGATAGGTGACTGCATCTGACAATACACATTTTCAGGGGCCTAAAATGAGGGCTAGATTTTCTCAAAGTTGCGGCTGTTTAATAAGGCTCCTCTTGTCTTGACTGTATAGACTGTATGTTTCTCAAAGGGCATCATTGTTTTGGTGGTACAAGATTTTTAGCAATATAAAACTAATGAGTGCTGTGGGCAGCCACAGGTTCAGAGACCCTTGGCTGGGGAGAGACCCCTTGGCCATGGAAAGCCATGCTCTCCAGGGCAACAGCTACGTACAATCACTCTATAGTATAGCTCTCCCCCCCCCGCCAACTCAGACAGCCTCCTGGGCAGCCCAAAAGCCCAGTCAGTCTCAGGCTCCCCAGCAACCTGTAAAGTTCCCCATCTACAGGCAGCCATAGATGGCAAGGATGATGGGGCCTCTGCTGCCACTGCCAAGAGACCACTCACCCTTTCAAGATCCCAATATGCCTGCAATCCAGGAGTCCAGACCACTGTTGGGTCCTGGGATGCAGGCACACCAGGCGCTTAACCTGGCTTAGGAGCCAGATCACAGCTGACCTCTGATCTGTCTCCTGGACTCCATGGTGGGATCTTTATTAATGGTGCCTGCAACCTGGGAGCTGGTTTGCCAGTCTTGGAAGTACTGGGAGGTCGCCCCTGTGCAGGCTGTCAGGGAACCAGCTGTTCTCATTCCCTCCTTTCCCTTGGAGGTGGGAGAAAAAGCAGAGCACTGTGGGATTTGGGGCACAGGGGTATTTCTATGACAGGGGTGGGCAAAATGCAGCCTGTGGGCTGCATGCGGCCCGCCAGGCCATTGTATCCGGCCCACAGGGCCCCTAAAAAATTTAGAAAATTAATATTTATCTGCCCCTGCCTGCCTGGCATGTGGCCCTTGATGGCTTGCCAATACTCAGTAAGCAGCCCTCTGCCTGAAATAATTGCCCGCCCCTGTTCTATGACCTCCTATCTGGCCAGATGTTGAATGTGTCCTGGCATCAGGATGGCATCCAAGCCTGCCCAGATATATCTACAAGAGCAACATTACAACTCGGAGTACAGTTCTAAAGATATTACTGAACTTATACACTTCAACATCACACACAACTTCACTTCCTCCAGACCATGGGTATAGCTATAGGCACCAAAATGGCCCCACAATATGCCAAACTTTTTATGGACCACCTGGAAGAAGAATTCTTTAAGAACTGCATCAAACCCACACTATACCTAAAATATATAGATGATATCTATCATTTGGATCAAATACCTGGAATCTTTGCCTGATTTGCATCACAGATTTAACAAACATCACCCCTCCATCAGACTGTCTCTGAAATACTCCAGCACCAACATTCCCTTTTTAGACACCAGGATCAATATCCAGAATGGTGAAATACAAATCAGCATATACAAGAGACCCATGGACCAACATGCATAGCTATTGTAAAAAGAACAATTTTTACAACTTTTTACGTGGTCGAATAAAAGATATCATGTCTACCTGAAGAACCTTGTCTGCCTATGTCCTTAGACCAAGATGGCTACAACCAACAACCCTATGGAAATGGATGCAACTTTGAAATAAGAATTCAGGCCCTGCTGGTTCACTGGGCTCATCTTTCCTGTGCTTCTTTTTTCTCCAATTTATTGTTGTTATCTTGAGCTAATTGGAGCCCTCAGATAATCTGCAAAGGGTCTGATAGAAGCATGGGACATTCTTGTGAGGCAGCTTTTGAGCTGGAGTAAATTGGGCAGAGCTCCAGGGGCTGTGACTAGTTGCACCAGACACAGCTCTGTCCCTGAGACTACTTACCAGGTATAAAGGAGGAAATATGCCGTAGGAGATCCTGCACAAGTTCTCAACTGAGATCTGAAAACTGAAGTCAAGGACCTTGATAGAGTAGAAAGCAGCTGGACAATCTCTTGGACATATGTCATTCTCTCCTGCAAATGGTGATACGTAAATTGTAGTTTCTGGGTCAGAGAGGGGATGCAGGCTTGTGAATCCTCCATCAATATATCGCTGAGGAAAACAAAGCACAATATATATGTTTTAGGAGGACCTCCCAGTGCTGTGGTGTAGACCAGTCCATAGAGATCCCAGTTAAGACTAGAATTCCATTGTGGTACTGGACACAGACATAGTGAGAGCCTGGAAGAACCCAGCAGATTAAATGGATAAGAGAGAAAAGCAATAGGGAAAAAGAGTGGAAGTTGTATGCTCAGGGCAACACAGCATCTTAATGGTGAATCAGTGATCCGCTGACTGTACTGCCTGTTATGGAAAAGCTGGTAGCAATGAACAGCACTTCAGGGCTTTCCTGAGTCACAGCTTCTGACTCAGAAATATCATCAGGAATGTATTGCAAGGCAACAATACATTGAGGAGGTTTAGGGTGGAGATATGGGCCAGAATGTTTTGGGTAGCAAGGGAGAGCTCTAGACAGCAAGAGCCCAGGAGGTGCGCATCATCCCTGTCAAGTCTGGGAGTCCACAACGTGGCCCAGGTTGATGCAAGCATTCTTATCCCCCTGTGAAAAGCTGCCAAAGAGCTTACCACGCCTCGGAAGGAAGGAGGGATCCATCCCCAAATAACCGGAATAAAGCAGCTGCAGAGCACTGCCTACAGCCAAAGGAGAGAATAAAAGAGTAAACACATTTGTAGTGAAAAAGATGGGACCGGTCCTATTTAGTGCTTTGCATTCCTCATTTCACAGACTGAGAAACTGAGCTGATAATGTGGATACACAGATGTGATTTAGCTAGCTCAATGGCAATTTTTGTCACATGGACACAGAAAAAGTGTAACAAGGAAACAAGAGAGGTATCACGTGGACAGGTGCCCACAAAGTGGAGTTACCATGGCCAAAGTAACTCAGCAGATCAGTGACAAAGCTAAGAAGAGAACCTATGTGCTCCTATAGATGTGCAGACTTGATTTATTGAGTCTGCTGGAGCACAGAAATTACCGTGCTCCAGCAGCCTCCTGTGTCATGTACATCAGCATCCCTATGCTGAAAAATGGTGACGAGACACTTTGAACTAAAGCTCCTTCAATGAGCTAAAGTACTCTGCTGCCTTTTTTCAGCGTGGAGGATGCTGACACACATGATATTTGGACACTTCTAACTAGCATTGCTCTCTAATTCAAGCACCCCCCTGCACCTCTGGAGCACATGTAAAAATGCCCTATGATTTGTGTGGCTCCAGCTGTTCTTTTCCATGAAACCAATGCTGGGTTTGTGGTTTTGCACTTGGCACATACTAAGATCAACTAAACATGGAAAAATTCAGCCCTTCTGATAAGCACACTTACTGTTCCAACTCTGGGATTTTTTTATCACTTTATTCCAAACTGCAAGGAAAACAAAGTCTGTTTTACCTGAATGACCTCCTCCTTTGAGCAGAAGTCTGAAATTACAACTTTCTGGCCATCTGGCAGACGTGTGAGACCAATATGAAGTCTCCCTGAGGCCAGCTGGTGACAGTTTTCGGTCAGGCCTTTACGCAATCCCTTTTCCAAGAGCTTAAGGAAATGAAAACGTGGAGAGTAGGGGCCGAGGAGTGATTTCTTACTTTTTTCCATTACCTCAGAGTAAATTTCATCCACAATTTCTAAGGTAAAAAAAAAATTTCCATTATAACCAGTTCAAGTCTTGCCCTCTGCTCATGGGGCCCAGTCAAGTCAAAGGGAGTTGTGTGCATATATCTGACGTGTGGTTTGCTCTCCCAGGGATTTTTACTTAATCCGAGGACAGTTTTATGAGTGCTTTCCAGTTCTGGGTGTCTTCATTTCTAGAAGCTCAACTTGAGACAGATCATTATAGATTACTGCTATTGCAGCAATGCCTGATGCCTTAGCCATTCTCCAGGTCCTACAGAGTAAGGAGCTGCCCATAGCCCAAAGTTTCAGTCTGACTACACAAGACATATCATCCTGTCCTTTCTGATCAAATTACCACTCCTTTGCCTCTCCTTTCACAAGCAATCATGGGGCAGTTTCTTACGTCTGGACCTGAAGTAATGCAAATGCTATTCCTCAGTAACTTCTTTGTTTAAAATAAACCTAGGCATCTCCTTTGCCCTCGGGACCTTCTGCCTCTCTTCCCTTAGCTACGGTGAGTGGGTTGAGCTAGTCTCAGGAGCTTTCCTTTCTATGTCAGTCCCTGTAGGAGGGAGGGTCTCAAGCCTAGAAAGACATGAGGATTGCTATTGGAAGCAGCTCCCAGCAACACAACTAGTACTGACTCTTCCAGTGGCAGGCTTGGAGGCCCCTTTCCCCTAGCAGACCTGGTAGGTAGGCTGAAGATAGTGTGGGGAATGGTGGGACTTGTGGCTGGGAATCATGGTGAAGTCAGCATGGTGAGATGGAATTGGAGAGAAAATGTGTGAAATAAATAAAAGCCTTGACACTTCGAAGTAGGCCTCCAGGCTGGACAGACTATCATTACTCCCATTTGATCTTGAAAACTAAGCTGTCCAGGGCTTGGCTACTATGCAGAGGGGAGACTTGTTTCATAATCCCAGGAGCCACTGATGGGAGCCAGAAGTACAAGTGGAGTCAGGCCCTGTTCTTAGCATGTCTGGGTGCTGTGTGCTGTAACTACGTGCCCCTGACATGGCTGGTTTTATTTACAATAGGTCTGATATGCTCAGAGGACACCGCAATATTTAGTGCTTTCTTACGGCGAAGTTGGACGGTTTATTCAACAGAAGCAGGTGAACAGTTTGTCCCAAGCGTAGGTAGCTGTAAGGCCAGTGGAATCTCAGTTTCTGTAACCAGTGGCATGGAAGGGAGTGGTGTCTGGCTAGCATCGAATTCAGCTGCCTTTTTCCTCCTAAACCCAATGGCCAGATACTCATTTACAGCTGGCTCAGCAGGGGCAGAGAACAAGACATAACTCCCAGACAAGACCTGTGGCTTTAGAGTCACACTGTCATGCCCTGATTGGTAAGCCATCACACTCCAAATGATTGGAGGTTTGCTTGAATTCACATTTATAACCTTCTCGCATCCAGCCTGAAATTCCTAGATGAAGGGCCAGATGAATGCCTGGCAAAACGAGTAACATACACAGAGTACAACTAGGAATTAAACTGGTCCATCATGTCCAGACCCTGGACAGCAAAATATGGGTGTTCTAGTACTTCTCACAGTGCCACTTGGGAATATAAAACAAAGTTTCCAAAACCCTCCCAAAAAACCCACAATCAAAAAACCAGACCAGGGGAGCGCTCTTTAGATCAGGGCTTGAAGACTTAGCTGGGATTCTGACTTCATTATTGTGGATGCCATTCATACATATAATATAGGCAGAGGTGGTCTCTGCCTCTAAAACCTTGTGTCCTGAATTGACAATGAGAAAATAAAGAAAAACCCTCCACTTCAGAGACTGTTGGTATATAACCAGAATTCTTGGCAAACTCCTTTGAAAAACTCAGCCCGAGTAACTTGCCAAGGCCAACTCAGCCCAAGTGACAGGGTGCTTATTGAGCCTATCACTTTAAGAAGGGAAGAAACGGCTTGAGGAGCAACCTGCAGGTGTGACAGGGGCCAATTAGAGTCACTTGACCAAAAAGGGGGCTGGGCTTGATGCATATAAGCCCAGGGCAGGAGCTGGTCAAGGAGTCTAGCTCTGAGAGCCACAGGGAGAGGAGCTCCTGGGCAATATCTGAGCTGGGGGTAAGCAACTCTGGAGGTTTGTATAAGAGACTCAAGGGAGGTATAGAGGTCCCAGATGGCCCAGAGGGGAGACAGGTTTATAGCCCATGGGCAGGGGTGGTGGGCAGGTGTCAGCAGAGCCAAGGAGCCCAGAGGTCTGTAGCCCAGGAGGAGCGGGTGTCAACAGAGTCAGGGAGCTCGAAGATCTCACTGGTGCAGGAGTGGGACCAGGGTCCAGAGATGGGCCAAAGGCCATGGAGGCCTGCAGCTGGAGACTGTTGGAGCTAGGGGAGCCCAGGAGTCTTAATTGGCTGGGAACGGGGCCAGGATCCAGGGGGCCAGTTAAAGTCTGGAGGTTACAGCTGGGTCAAGGAGTCTGTAGCCCAAGAGGGGTGAGGACTGGGGCTGGGAGCCCATAGCCCAGAAGGGCCATGTCAGCAGGAATGAGTATCATGTACTAAATTAGTGCTTAAGGCAGAGAGTGGAGACACCTGAGATCAGGAGTGTGAGATCTGATTTGGGAAGTCCTGAGGCAGCCTCCCTTTAAAAAAAAAAAAAAAAAAAAAAAGGAAAAAAAGAAAAATACATTAAGGCATGGCAGAAGAGAAGGGGAGAGTGCCCAAGACAGCCAGACTAGACAAGGGCAGAGGGGGCTCCAGGTGCATCATGGCCACCCCTGGAGTTGAACCCCGTTACATGAGGTGTGTTGGCCAGAAAGAAGGCCATACAGGAAGGTTAGAGGAGCAGACCCATAAGCGAGTGAGGACTAGTGGTTGTATGCTTGCTCCAGCAGTGTTTTAACTGGCCTAGGAGTGGGGCCAGGGTCTAATTAAGGACCGAAGGCCAGGAGGGCCACAGCCAGAGATGTAGGAGGTCAGGAAGCCTGCAGCCCAGGAAGGGGCTGGCTAGGGCAGTGACATCTGAATTAACGGGGGGTCTTTTAAAGGAAGGAAAGTCTGGGAGGTAAAGAAGACCCACGGGGTGAGTGCTAGAGGACAGGAGAAAGTGCAGTAACTGGAGAGGGCTTGTGAGGTGCACAAAATAAAGATGCTCAGAATGGGCAGCCTTAGAGATCTGCATAGGAGACACCTAGGAAGCCCAAGAGTGGGAATCTCCTGGTCCTGGGTAAGATCTGAAACTGCACTCTTCCAAGGGCTGGTTAATGTGGTGGGGCCAACTGTGGCAGGGTAGCCTCTATAAAATACCACACATTACCACCTCCAGGAAAGGTGAGTATGGGGTGTCTGAAAACCCCAGCTTTCACTGCCGTTTGGGTTATTCTGTGGCAGGAAAAAGGCTAGGGGAGCACACCCCAAAAGAAGAGCACTTACTTGATGGAAGCAAAAGGATGAATACCCCTGGGCAAGTGTGAACTAAGGTGTGGGGGGTGGAGGGGGGTATGTGACAGGGCTCTTAGCATGCCTGTCACTTGATGAGGTGAAGAGGCTGCTTGAGAAGCAGGCTGCAGGTATGGCAGGGGCCAACTGAAGAGCCACCTGGTCAGAAAGGGACTGGGCTTAAAGCATACAAGTCCAGGGCCTGAGCTGGCCAAGGAATTTGGCCATGAGAGCCACAGAGAGAGGAGCTCCTGGGAAACATCTGAGCTGTGGATAAGCAACTCTGGCAGTATTATCTGTGAGGCATGGGTGCAGTCGGGGTGGTTGGAGCCATGTAATTTGTTCTCAAGGCAGGGAGCAGAGACACCTGAGCTAAGAAATGTGAGATCTGACTTGGGAAGCCCTGAGGCAGCCTCTCTTTAAAAAAAACAAAAAAACAAAAAAAAAAACCAAGACAAACCCCCCCCCCAGAACCCCCCCCATCAAATCATGACAGGCGAGGAGAAGGAAAGGATGCCCAAAGAGAGCCAGACAAGACAAGGACCGAGGGGCTTCCATGTGCATCATGGCCACCCCTGGAGTTGAGTTCTTGGTTCTGCCATGATGTAACAGGGTTCAACTAAATAAGTTGCCTTCCTTAATCGCAAAGCAATCCCCCTTTCCTCTGCTTTCACTTAGCACCTTATGTCTAGACTAAAACCAGCACCTAGGCATCCATGAAAGCAGGACTGTCAATGAGGGGAACCTAAAGCATTGCAACTGAGGAAAACATACTGTGATACCAAAGGGAAGCAGTGTCACCATCAAATCTATTTGCTGAGTAGCTAGCATGCACACACCCACAGATTTCAGTCAAGTTTGAAATAACATTATTTATATAACATTAATTCAAATTTGACTCAAAAGTATGGGAGCATTTGTTACCATACATTCTGCAGTACGTGCACTCTGCAGTTACGGGTATTGGATTAAAAACTGATGTTCAGGAAAATGGACTAGATAATCTCTACTGGTCCTTCCGGTCCTATGCCTTTGATCCAGTCAGTAGTTAGACTATTCTAAGTGAAGTGCTAGGGGAAGTCACATATAACAATACACCAAACAAACTAAACCATTCATCCGCCTTACCTTGGTTGCCACCACAGGCCAATACTGCAGCTGCGATTGCTCCACTTGATATTCCAAAGAATTTGGCTGCCGATCCCAGCATCTCAGGTGCTAATTCTTGCAGGGCCTGAATAACTCCTAGCTCATAACCGAGGATAAATCCACAGCCACAAAAGCTAACAGACTGTGCAGGGGAGCCACCGCTGACTTGATCTGTCTCATCCATTCCCACTCACAGGAGCTCAACCAGTGCACGGAGCTGATGGCAGAGGCTGGGAGGCTCTGCGCACTGCTACACAGCACACTGCTTGCTAGCTGCTGGAGTGTGCTTAGCAATCGTACTGTCTCCAGATGTCTAGGACCATAAATGACAGCTGTGAGCAGAGCTGTGACAGGTTTTAAGGCTAGGACTTTTTATATGATACTACTTATTTAAATTACTCCATGCAGTAGTTCCAAAAACACCCAGTAAGTTAGTAAACACCAGGGCTAAAACAACCCACTCATGAAATGTATCAGTCCTGTAAGGTATTCTGTAATACCCGTCTACTTGGCAAGTAGTATGGTGCCATCTGTGCTTTATTTCAAAATTTACCCTAAGCTATAATTACTACAGGCAACACACCTTTCTTATTCTGGTACATTCAATATCACAGTATCTAAGTACTGCCAGCACCTTACCAGGCAGTCTTCCATTTGGCAAAAACATACAGCTGTCTCAAGCAATACGTTTGGTAACTCAAAGAAACACTCAAACTTCGCATTTCAGTGAGCTCTCCTTACAAGGACAGTCTGGAGCCTGACCTGAACAACTCACCTGTCACCGTCTTTCTCTTTTGATGTCAGCTCTGGGATTTCTCTCTTTACTCTTAGGACAGTCTTTGGGCAGTCTCCAGAGCTTTCTGAACTCAGTGGAGAGATTCTTTTCACCATCAGCAAATGTATGAAAAAGCTTGTAGTGACCAACCTTCATTCATTTTCCAATAGAAGAATATTTTGTTTCCTGGTTTGACTACCACTTAGGAGATATTTTTACTCAGCTGGACAGAATAATGTCCTTGTCTTTTTTCTTAGTGGTTACAGTTAATTTAAAACCCAGCAGTATGTATGAGCAGTTGGAATGATTCGTTATTAATATAATTGTACTAACTAATTCAGTTTTAGTACTGGTATAAATTAATCCTTTCCACAACTTTAGCTTATATAACACCACCTTTTGAGGGAGACTTCTCAAAGGTTGCTTGCAAGTCCAAATAAAAGAGACCAATCCTTCTCTCTCAGCCCCTACCACAGGGGTTACCAATGTTTTGGAGTGGGGGCCACATGGAAAGAGCTTAGTTGTGTGCCTCATAGAGCCTCGTTAGGTGATCTAAGTCCTCCACTGGGCTACCGAGACATTGTGGAATCTCCATCCTTGGGAATTGTGGCATGCCTGTCCTTGGAAAATTTTGAAGAGCTGGTTAGATAGACACTGGGCTGGGATGGTCTGATCAGGGATAATCCTGCCTCCAGCTCATGATGACCCTTCCAGCCCTATTTTCCTGTGATCCTACAGAAACAACCCCCTTGAGAGAAGGTTGTGACAAGTGAGTATTCACCCTGGGAATATCTTCTGCTCAGGAACATAACAGAGGTGGACAGAGACTATTTTTAAAGGCCATGTCTCTGAGCAAATGGCTGCATCACCAATATCCCCACAGAAAGATGACCAGGTGAAGAATCTAGAATAGGATGCCTGGCCTCAGGACAATGACAAACTGTAGCATGTTGGGCTCCCGGGGTGGCTGTGAATGTCCCCTGGCAGCTCTGCAACCATGCCCCACTCTGCCTTCCCTTCTCACCCACCACACCTTGATGGAATAGTAATAGGAAGGCTGCCTATGGGCCTTTGCGTGGCTCCAGTCCAACTGGCCCCCCACTGGGGTTTCTCAGCACCCTACTGGTCTCTACTCCTCCCAGGCCCCTTGATGGCCTCTCTAGTCAACCATGCCCTTGTTGGGGCACCTACAGACTTAAGGGTTATTTGCATAGCTCCAGTCCTTCCCTACACCATGCCCCAAGCCTCATTGGTGTTACTGTAATGTTGATTGCCTGTTGGGCTTTGGCTTCATTAGCTGCCACCCCTTTACTCTCAGTTAGGCCTTTTAGCCTGGACCCACTGTATCAGATCTGGCTTCGAGGCACCCGGCCTCTGGCCTCTGTTTGGTTGTGCCCCTAGCCTGCCTGGCTCTGTGGCTTCACTCTGTCTGCTTTGAACACCCCTCTGGCATGAATGGGACCTCTGTATACTGCCCTTACAGTCCCAACTCAAACCGCTGGTCTAACTTCAGCATAAACAATAAACCCCTGGGCTATAATATAAACATAAAAGGGAAGCCACCCTCTGCCTGGTTAAGAGGAAAAACTGTCCCTTACCTCTTAACCTAGGATAGCCTCCCAGCCCTGGGCTATATCCTAGTGTAGTGCTTCCCAAACTTTTCCTCACTGTGGCCCCTCCCTCCCAACTCACATCTGCCCATCCCTGTGCCTTCATCCACTGATGTTGCCACCCCATTTGAGGTTGTGACCTACAGTTTGGGAACTGCTGTCCTAGTGAGCTCCTCTAGCCTCACCAGGGATCCATATGGAGCACCCTTCAAGGGCCCTGATGCCAGGAGCTCTTCATCCTGTAGCTGCCAGGGAGAGACTAGCCCAAATGTCAGGCTTATCTCCTCCCAGGGCCCTGCACCCTTTGGGTCAGCAGACTTCCTGGGCTGCCTGCAGGTGCCTGCTAATTGGCCCAATTGCCCCTTTGCCAAAGTGCCCTGCAGTGCTCCCTGGCTGGGCTGTTTCTGCCCTAAAGGAACAGAGAGTCCCAGGCTGGCTCCGTAACCTCACTCTGCCTGTCCCAGGCTCTGTGTTGCATAAGATCCCAGATTCACAGCAGAGATGAGATCAGACCTGGGAGATGGTTTCATAGTTTCATAGTTTCTAGGGTCATAGATTCATAGATTCATAGATTAAGGGTCGGAAGGGACCTAGTAGATCTTCTAGCCCGACCCCCCGCCAGGGCGGGAGAACAACAAAAACCCCAAAAAGAGAAATGGGACTCAAACGAGTCCAGCTAGGTGGGCATCCAGCCTCTTCTTAAAGACCCCCAGGGTAGGGGCCAGCACCACTTCCCTTGGAAGTTGGTTCCAGCTCCTAGCCGCCCTAA